TTGTTTATAACGTAGTTATTTCACTCAGTTCTTTTCAAAACAGTGGGCGTAAACACACACACACACACACACACACACACACACACACACACACAGACACACACACAGACACACACACACACACACACACACACACACACACACCCACCCGCCAACTGTGACTTTAAAAACCACAACAGAACAATAAGGACCCATCTTTGCTTTCCTAATTCCACCTTTTTCCTTGTTTCAGGAAACGACTGTATGGGTGCTCTGGGCAGAAGAGCAAGTTAGAACAGCTGGACAAGGACGTTATGACTGTGACTTCGGGGTCTTAACCAGAAGCTACATGGTCTGCACCTCTCGGTACCGGTGTACCTAGCACTGTACTTTGCTTCAGATGGGGAGTGGGGGGGAGAGAGAATTAACAAAAACCCAACCCAACACACTAACAAACTGAAGGTTTGAAGGGCAATCTTGTCCACAGCACGTCTTCACTCGTCTCAGGTGATTCTGCCAAAAGTTTGAATGTCTAATGCCACTGTACACACAGTAGACTCCAGACAGGGTGTCACTCTCCTATGCACTGGGAAACCAAGGTATCTGTGACTTGCTTTACTGTGTTAATCATTATGTCAACACTGAACCCACAGCCTCTCCAAGGCTGCAGCTTCCCAGCCCAAACGTACTTCAGCACATAGGCTTAGCTTACCTTCAAATGTGTGTAAGTCTCTACCAGTAAGCAAAAGTCACTGGGCCAACTCCTGGGATGTGTTTATCTACAACCTGCCTCCAAAAACACAAAGATCAATTTCACAGTTTCATTCCCAAGCATGGCAGGAAGCTTCGCCAGCGCCACCCTGGTGAGCACGTTCCACTTAAAAGCATCCTCTCATTGTGCGTAATTTAACAAAACTGACCATATAGGATAATGCTGTTTATTAAAAATATATTCAGGGAGAAGGAAGTCAGTGCATTTATGCAATTTTACATACACATCTGAAGTTTGAGGTTCCATTATTCCAACAGTTCATATAAATCACTGTTTTAGATAAGAGAAAAAAATGCTTTACACAGATCAGCAATTGGTTATAGGTTTGGTAATATGAGTAGGCTTGTAAAAATAAAACCACCTCTTCCATTATTAAAGAGTGTCGTCTTTATGCAGAACAAGTCTTAAGAGTCAAGAACTTTTTCTTGCATAAGAATTGTTAACTCGAAGTTCTCGGAAAACAGCCAGTTCTGTTTCCTACATACATACATATACATATTTATATATAAACACGCTACCATCTGTCTGGAATTACTCTGAGGTAACAAAGGAGGCGTTCTCAGTGACTCGTCACTAGGCTATCCTTTACCATGTATGCCAACTACTCCAATGTCAAACCCAAGACTCATACAAAAGCATTTGTCAGAATTAGAATTACATAGTTGGACATTTCCAAACCAGGGTCTAATTACAGCAGGGAAAACAGAATCGGAAAAACAGTAGGCGGCTACATTATCTTTGCTCATGGAAAACGAACAACAGCATCCGTCCAGAGTCCCCCAAGTGGAGCTGGCTTTTTAATGTATTTTTTGACATCTTCAAGAAGTCTCCATTGCTAAAGATTTTTCCTTGGAATACAGGTGACATTCCCGCTTCCTGAGCTCATGCTCCCGGATGGGAACTCAGGAGCACAGCCTCAACATCTGATGAACCAGAGCACGTTGAATCCTTAGGATAAATCACGAGATGGTTCTCATTTCTTGGGTCCAGCCTTTCTGCTGAGGCCTTCTAGAGGCACGGCCAAGACAGGAGTGAGGAGCCACCTCTGGTACAAAGAAGCCAGGCGTGGCGAGGAAGGCCTTGAGGACACTGCCTTCTTCACTATCATGAAACTTTTCTATCACTGGAACCATGGAGCTGCAAAGCACCGAAGAACTCTTTTTCCTGTAATGAATGAAGTTGTACGAGAAGACTGCTGCCACATTTAGAAAAGATACCTAGCACTCTTCTCCATGTCTACTAACAATGAGACTATTAAGAACTTAGGACTCTTGTTTTTCCTGGAGGAGGGAGGGCAATTTGTTTCACTGTTGACTTAAATAAGGACTATGGGTTTAACTAGCTCTTCCTTCCTACTGATCAAGTCAATAGCTATCTAGAAGACAGCACAAACTTGGTGATCCAAGTCTCTGTAGCTACCTAGCTGTCTTAAGTTTTTCAAGCACATGCAGAAATCAGTGCTTGTGGATACGATTACTGCGCAAATACATTTAAGGCAGAACTGGAGTAACAGCAAATGAAGTACATACTTCTCCCCAACCATGGTGCAATATTAAGGCTTCTGCCACAAGAGAACGATTAACAATAGAAGTGACTTCCTGCCCCGATTTGAACAAAGGTCTTGCATTCTAAGGAAGTATAAATCAGTTACTGGAGACAAAAGCAAAAAAAATTGATTCTGAAACACTCAAGCTGCAGGACTGGATTCCAAGCCATCCTCTGTGTCCATCAGATGCTGAAATCAATGAGGCCGACCCTGCCAGGTCCACAGCATGAGTAACAGCAGATAATGGCATATTAGTATGAAATGTTACTTTATCTATACACATGTGGAATTTAAAAAATAGAACCCTGTTAAAAAAAAAACGAGGAACCACCTGCTATGCTCACACAAAAATTTTTGTGCTTAAATTTTAGAAAGGAATTAGGACAGTTTCAAACAAATCAGTTCCTATTTTAACACTAATTTTGCTTGATTTAACTCCCCAAACCTTTTGTGGTCAATGTTTAAACTCGGAGCTATAACATCTCTAATTTTCGGCAAAGGCTTCCCAACTGTCAGAGCCTCACTGGGATCCTGTTTCTGCTCCACCACACCTAGGAAATTCACTGCCGGGGTGAAATGAAAGACAGAATGTTTCCATGTAAAACCATTTAATGTCAAATGCTGAAGGAGTCAAAAGCAGCCCCCATGACCCTTCTGGGTGATGTGATGGGAACAATGGGACTTCTACATCAATGAAGTAAGGCTTCTGGACAATCAGTAAAACAAAACTGATTTCTCAAAGGTCAATAAAAGAAAACAATGAGCTCACCTCTCATTTTCAGGAGAGATAACTTATGAAACATTCTTTCAAGTTATGTAACCAGCTGAATTTTGAACCAGAGAGAGGCAAGAGAGAAGGCAGGAAGGCCTCTCCCTCCCATTCTCTCACCACAATTTCTTTTCCTCCAGTTGCTGCCGTGAATTTTTAATGGTGATTTAATGAGCGAAGTCAGCCATGACTAGTGATCATGGTGACTAGACCATGAACTTGCATGGGAATACAGTAATGCAATGGAAAAGTATGCACACAGCACAGAACCACCAACTAAAAGGTGAAGCACACTTTATTAACTTTTAGAAAACACATTTACCTGATGGATTATTGCAGATTTGAGAAATCAGCACAGAGAACAAGAGGACAGGGCATGGCTTAAGGTGCCTTTATTCAGTGATGACAAAGGCCGGTGGTCTGCTCTGTCCCACACTAGCAATGGGAGCTAGTTCAAGAGAAAGTGCAATAAAAAATGCAAAGTAGAAATAAAAACCCTCAACAAGAACCAAGGAGAAAAAGGTCTTTTTACTCCAACAGGGAATGAAAACTGCAAAACTTGCTTAAAATATTACAACAGTTGAAAATTTTCTGACCACAGAAGAATAAATTAACGGCTATCTCAAGCTGCAGGTATTTTATGCAACTTTGCTTTCTGTTTCAGCACCCATGCTTAATGGGAGCACCCTGTAAACAGACCTAGCATTATCTTCTGTTAAGACCATAACAAATGCCCACCACGACATTAACATTCAGCTCTAAGAAAAACGCTCCTAGTTCCAAAGGCTGCCCTGCCAACATCTCAGTTAAATTCTATCTTAATTGGAGAACATGGGCCAACAAAGCCCTGGGTGACGAAGCAGCAGCTGTGAGTGCCGGACAGAAACCGGGTGGCCTGCAGACAACACACGCCCCAGGGAGAGGAAAGGAGGGGCGGAAAAGTACAGAGAGTTGGTCTAGGGGATGACACTCATCAGGTACAGAGGAGCTCTTCATTTCTGTACCTATGTACAAAAGTTGTCTTTGGAGGAAACAAAACTGCAGACTTAGCTAGATGGATACACACAGCCCAGAATTAAACTGCACAGCGACATTTATTGTTCCAGCCTGGAAAAACAATCCCTTTTGTAAATTTCACACAGCAAAGCAAGTTAAAAACTTCACTCATCAAATAAATGATAATTTAAACAAGAACTTGCTAAAGAAACCTCATTACAACAACTTTTTAGGGCCTGATCACTTTAAGTCCATGGGGCCATTCAGGAACATCAACCAGTGTCTCTTTTATAATCTGCAAGTCGGTTTTCCTACAACAAGAAGGCGTAACATGTTTCCTGACTCAAGTGATACATTGAGAAAACAACCGATGATTTTTCTTTTGCTGTATGTAACAGGCCAATGCCGAGTTCTCTGCTGTGATCAGGAAAGATGGAACGACTGTTGTCCTTCTCTTGCTGCTATCAACAGTTTCCCCCGCATGATCTCAATACTTGAATAGTCCGGCAGCTTAAGATAGTTCACACAAGTCATTACAGAGGGCAAGAAGTCATCTGGGTTTTCTGTTGATTCAAATGTCTTCCTGACAATTGTCAAAGGTGGATTCAAACTCCGGAAACCTGATTGAGGGAAAGGGGGGGACGGGGGGAAAGTGAGGCGTTTAGCCAGTGAAAACGATTCTATCCAAGGGAACAGCTAGTCTGGAATCACAAATCCATCCTTCATTGGAGCTACTACTAACACAGTACTCCTTCTGCCTTGGTAATTCATTCTATAGATTCAGTTCATATTTAGTGGCCAGAGCCTGGTGTTTAATCACAAAAAGGCACTGTTTAATAAATACACAGGCTTACAAGTTTTTTTATAAAAATCCAAGACTACACCATCTACCCTCAACTAAGAAGAGTTTAGTCATAATTTGCAAGAGCCTTGGAATTTTATTAAACCCCAGCACTACATATGCAACAGCAATCCTACACTTCACTGTGTCCAAGACCACCCCCATGTCTAGTGGGTCCAAAACTATCTCTATTGTCCAGTGCATCTAAGACCATTCCACAGATTATCTTGCCACTAACATCTCTTCCTCTATTACTAGAAACTAAATAAAAAACCTACAAACATTACCAAACTGAAAGTCACATAAAGAATGATGTCCCATACCTGTGCACATGCATAGGGGAATCAATGCACCACGTGGTACTCACCTCCGACCGGCAGTCTGGGGCTCCCAGTCACAAACTGAAGGAATAACCGCTGCAGCTCATTATCAAAACTACTGAGGATCTCAAACAGGAACTTCACGGCCCGGCTACAACAAAGCAAACACAGGCAGCTCATCGGATCAAAATTCCATCTGCCATCACGTGACAGTACCGACTTAAACTTGTCAATGGTTAGAGACGGATCGATTCTAGAAGGCGATTACAGTCTTCAAATAACCATTACTAGGCACACTGATAATCATATTTATTTGTTGTTGCAGCTGGAATTTAAATGACCTGAGTACTGTAGTAATGAGACATGACGGGAGAGTTTATGGACAGTTATGGTTTCACACAGGCATGCCTCCCTTGCATATAGACACTGCAGTGTTTCTGAACAGACTGAAGGTTTGTAGTAATGCAACAAAGAGTTATCTACTGGTGCCATTTCCCTATAGCTCACAATATTTCCAACTTTTTCACAATGTTATAAAGCTTGGTGAATAGGGAGCTCTGATGGCTTAGTGGTAAGGAGTTGTGCTGCCAACCCAAAGACTGGCAGTTTGACTCCACCAGGTACTCAGTGGAGGGAAGATGGGCTATCTCATTGCCTCTGAAGACTGTTGGATAATCAGCTGAGTGCTGAGACCTGAGAGTATACAACATCGCATACTTTAATAGATCATAATAGGAACATTACTTTTCTATGTACTAGAAAACCAGAAAAGGCGCATGAGGGTCACTTTATTAGGATATTCACTTCTGTGAGGTGTAGTTTTCTGGAATGAACTCGCAAGCCTGTATAAAATAACGACATTAAATCTGTGTTCCTTTTCTCCCTTTGTAACATCTTAAATTGTAGTCTTGAGAAAAATCAAAATACCAGAAAGGGTTCTTTTGCAAGCAGGTAGATTTACCACTTTAAAAAAACCAAACGAAACTATGCACACCCTCCCTTCCAATGTCTTGACTATGAACAAGGAAACCCAGCAAGCCCGCAGGTACCTGTCGTGCGTGTAGCCATGATCTGGCCGGCAGCATTCCATCAGCGTCTTTGCATCCCACGTGTCTGCTTTACTGCCACAGAGGAGCTGATCCAACTATGTATTCAGAGAACAACAACAACAAAAAAATCAGTCATGTATCTTTGTACCTGGCTGAAAACAAATGCTTGTTTTTGTATTAACACTGACACAAAGATTGACACATACAAAATAGCACCATCAAAATTTCTGCACAGAACCTTTCTTTAATAGGTTTCTCTGATCTATTTCTATATGCTACTTCCCTATCAGATGCACATTCTTTGGTCTCCTTATCTGTCTTCAAGGACTAGCCAAGACAGCCTCTGAAGCTAACATTTCCTAACTTTTCATTAACCATCAGGTTGAATTTAGGACTTTAGTGCTTACTAAGACTTCATAAACAGAGTAACAGAAGCCAGCAGGAGACAAACACATGCGTGCTGTATAGTGGTTTATTGTGGGCAATATCTATAACCCAATCATTCTAGAATGAATTTTAGAAAGCACACATTTCAGCATCTATGTACAATGGAACTCAATAGCCTTTCTCTCTGGTTACCAGCTCCATTTGTAAAATGATTACATTCCCTATGAGATTTTCTCTGCACTTCGAACAAAGGCAGCGAAAGAAAACACTACGGCATGCACTCCCTTCCCCACTGCCAGTCCTCTGCACACCCAGCCATCAGACAGCCTGCAATTCTTTACAAGGTCTCAAGAAGCAACTCTGAGCAAGGCTTCATCTAACTGACAGTTCTGCTGGTGTGGCAGTGAAATGCTAACTGAAGGTCAGTGGTTTGAGTCCCACAGCTGCTCTGCTAGAGGAGCATGTGCGCCTGTGAAGACTGGAGGCTTTCTACCCCATGCAGCAGTTCTGCTGTGCTGTCCAGGGCTGCCGAGTCAAAACGGACTAGACAGCAAAGGGACTGACTGTTCTAACAATGCAAGCAACCAAGCTTGGAAGAAGTTCTACTTTCTACTCCCCCCAATAGTACAACTGAAAATGGCCCCAAAGCTCCTGCTGTCGCCCACAGATGCACGAGGCTGACAGAGATGTTATATTCACTCTGCCACACAAGGACCTCACCCCAGGAGGTAACACCTCATTAATGCTGTTTCTCCATCAGCAAACAAAGCCTTGATCGCCTCCCAATCAATTCTATTCCCAAACCCTCTCTGCTCTCCATGGCAATAGGATGTTCTCCCACTCTCCAACTAGTTTTTTTTTTTTAAAAAAAAAAAAGATTGATTTTAAGAAGCATTTACAAAAAAGTTCTATTTTCATTCATTGTTACACTTTTTATTCCCTCGCCACGCCCCCCCCTTATCATCTTTTTAATATTCATTCACTGTTGCACTGTTACCTACCTCTTCCCCAGTCCTCTTTGCAATGATATATCGCTTATTCTGGGCTGTTGTCATACGTATAATGCCTAATCATATTTTCATTTTAGACAGTTTTTTCTTTCATTTGTTCCAATGCAATGGTCATAAACTACCCACTCTTATTCTCCTCTTAACCTCACACATCAGTCCTGCTTTAGGGCAACAGGATGATCTTGATAGAATTGAGATACTTCACGATGGGACATCCAGGTCCAAGACCAGGACTAGGACTAGGACCAGAAAGAACCACTTTTTTTAGATACAAGCTACTTACCTCCTCTGGGTAGAAGTACTGAAGATGACTGAGTGGGAAAACAGACTCAAATCCATCTCTGAATGAATCAAACTGCCTGGAGACGCCTTCATTTAGTGCCCAAAATATCACCAGCTGCAGAAAGAACAGTCTTAAATTGTGACAAGGTTTCATTCAAATCTCTTCACTAACAATACACAGTTATAACACACACATTTCTGGGTCTCTTCCCCTTTTCTGAAACGAGCTACTGAATATCTAAAATACATTCTAGGAAATGGCATAAATAAAAAGTTAGTCAGGGTACGTCTAATTTGAGCCCAGGCCACTAAGAAAACGTAAAAAACCCCCACCGTACCCTAGCACCATCTCATATGTCTTTACTATAGTGTTTTGAAAAAAGAAAATGCCCCAAGCTACAACGTGACATTACTTTAGCTAGATGAAAAACCAAGAATTCTCCCAGAAGATACAATGTTGAGAAACTGAAATATGTGTTTTATGAGACAATTAGCAACCACAGAAGGATGTTAAATTTGTGACAGGAACTATCTAAGTCCTTTCAGGACAACCACCCCTTCTGTAATGCACTCATCGGGAGAATGCTGTAGCTCCCGTGAAGAATCCTGACCCCTTAATTCTCCAAAAGCTGAAAGAGCAAGTTTCTCAAGAGATACTGAAAAAGCCAGTCATTCTGGATTTCAGAAGGGGTTCTTTCGGATTACAGAAGTGCAGCAGTTGTTCAGAGGCTCTAAAGATGGCTCCCCGGCCCCGCCACCACCCCCCAATGCGACTAATAGGCAGCATCAATTTGGTAAACACAAGCAAAGAGCAGGATTGATCCAGCTGACAGGCCTCACTAAGAATCTGTGTGTGTGCACACGTGTGTGTTTTAGAAGCCACCGTGTCAATAACGCTAACCTGAAAAAAAGGTGGAAAGTCTACTGAGGACACAAGTGGTGGCTCCATCTACTAAGAGTTTAATAAAATCATTTTATGAGACAGCATTTAAGCTGAATGTGGATCAAGTAAGATAAACAAGGTATCGTGTAGTACCTAACACGTTCTCTCAAAAGCATATGGAAACGTCCTGCAGTGGTCCCGCAGATGGTAACTGTGGAATATCACGATCTCTACAAACAGAAGCTGACAGGCACTGCATGTGCTTCCCTCACATGGTGTCAGCAGGCTAAAGTCACCAGAGCCCCCGCCCCAAGGACACTCAGTTACGTACTCTTAGATACTCTTCCAGATTGTGGATAGTGACTGGTATGTCCTTTCCTCCTTTCTTCAGTTCAATGTTGGGAAACCCTGGCAGCGTGAAATCCA